CTCACTATGTAGACCAGGCTGGCCTTGAACTCACAGAGATCCCCCTGCCTCTGCCTCCCAAGTGCTGGAACTACAGGCGTGTGCCACCATGCCCGGCTCCAACTCTTTATAGTAGGACGATGTATAAGAACATGGGTGAGAAAAAGAAAGAGCAAAGTTTTAAAAAGTGAACAGAAGAAATAAAGACCTGAGAAACTTGAATGAATTATTGTTCAGAACAAGCTACAGTTCCATTAGATGGAGTTTCTGTTTGTTGATGATTCTGGAAGTCTGAATATTTGTTGAGCAATATACCCATGTCAGACTTAGAAAGAGGAGAAATATATATATCTTAGCACATTTAACCAGCTGTCACAACAGCCCTTTCTTAATCTCCCTTCTTCTTGCAGCCAAAGCCCCGGATCTTCACTGCAGGAGTCCAGTCTATTCCATGTTACTGTATTTACAGTTTGCCTCTAAGGCCCATAAGATTTCTTCAAGTACTTTCTAGTGAGTAGTAAGAAAGGCAGACCCTCTGATATTTAGGTCTCCAGTTGTGAGAGGTGGAAGTGTCCTTGCAGGTTGATGTTGTGGCAAAACCTTGCTCCTTGCTTGAGTCTGGGAGACTTTCTTGGTCTCTGTGCAACTGAGTCTAACAATGAAAAGGTAGGCGTCTTGCTTCTGCTCCCTCCATGTGAGCTTTTGGCCCATAATGGAAGAGTCATCAGTGACTCAGCATGATGCCCTCTGCCCAATCAGCACCACTGATCCAACATCTCCAGCATGGTAGATCCTGAATATGAAGCTGCCTCAGGCTATTTTTTTTTTTTTTGTCATTTTAGTTTTATATCTAAAACATTCTTATAAAACAAGTATATGTTCAAATATAGATTACCTTTCAAGCACATGCAGAAAATACAAAAGTTATTAAATTTTGTAAAAAGGAAATGTTAAAACTGTCTGAAACTGAAAGTAGTGTATATATTAAATCATTAGGGACAGCTGCTCCCCACAGAGCTTGTTCTCCTGTTTGGATGAGAGCTATTCAACATGGACCTAATTCATGTGCACCCTTAAAGCGCTCATTTCCCTGCCTAGCACTCCAAAAAGTCCTCTTAGTCCCACTCTCAAAGAAGCATAATTATGAACTTTTAGAGGTTTTTGGAGATTTTCCTTCTATAGGGTTAAAAAAAAATTTAAAAATTACAGGGTTAGACAACCTTCTTAATGGTACATACTGCTTCAAAATATGAGGTCAAGATGAAACTAAATGTTGTACATTTAATTTTATATGTAAAATATATCACTAAGACACCAATTTTTAAAAGTAAAAGTAGAAAATATAGTGTAAAAAATAAAACTGAGTGTTACCTGCCTCAAATATAAGATCAGTGAGTATTAAACAGGAACAACAATATGGCAACAAAAATAGAATTTGTACATTTGCCCAAACTAAATTATTTCTTTGAGTCCAGGTAAATGGTTTCATATCAACAATGCTACCTCATCACTTTAACTTTTCAAACACTAAAGGAGACACTTGCCTATTCATAGACTTCTTTTTTTTGTCTTTTTGAGACAGGGTCTCCCTGTAGCACCTGCTGGCCTGGAACTCACTATGTAGACCAGGCTGGCCTTGAACTCACAGAGATCTGCCTGTCTCTGTCTCCCAAATGCCGGGATAAAGGTGTGCGCCACCACACCTGGCCTTCATAGACTTCTTAACTAAAGCATATGGTGATTTGTAAATAGTTTACCTTCTGTATTTGGTATCTAACCACCAAATATATATACCTCAGAACTGTCCATGTGACCCTGCAATCCTCTTCAGAAGCAATAAGAATGTATCTAGCACGTATCTTGAGACATGAATTGTTCATTAACATATATATATATATATATATATATATATATATATATATATATAATCTTGGTAATATGAAAGAAAAAAACCAAAAAAATTTCTTTTTTTTTGCTGGGTGTGGTGGCGCATGCCTTTAATCCCAGCACTTGGGAGGCAGAGGCAGGCAGATCTCTGTGAGTTCAAGGCCAGCCTGGTCTACATAGTGAGTTCCAGGCCAGCTGGGGCTACAGGGAGACCCTGTCTCAAAAACACCAAAAAACAAGCAAACAAACAAACAAACAAACAAACAAAACTTATCAGCTCCATTTCTTGAAAATTCAGTTGAGGTAACCTCTGCAAATCTCTGCTCCACATTTCCATTCAGTTCAGACCCTTTTTTTTGGCAGGGCTGAGGTCAATAGAATCTGAAGATAATTCTCCAGAACATTTCATTTGATAATCAAAAGTGAGCTCTTCTCCCGCCTCTCTTGGTCTAGTGGAAAATAATGCTATTCTGGGAAGACAAGGATCAAGGTTATCAATGAAAACACTAAACACCTGAAGATTTGGGTCACAACTATGATTCACAAAATCATATTCATCAGATTCGTAGTCCAGATCAAAGAGATAGGTGGTTCCTTTGTTGTCATATAACGGCCCTCGTCTTTCAGCCTCTTCATTTGTGATTACCTCTCCAACATACTCCATGACAAAATCATTCTTTTAATCTTCACAAGGGTTTTTACACCCCATTCACAGCCATTGCTAGTTCGAAAGATGCACAGTGAAACTGTGTGCCTTTTTGTACCATCCTATTGGGACAATCAGGTCCACATTGGCACCTTGAGTTGCATTCATAGATTGGCATGCCAGGTTGGATTCTAATTTGTTGGTTCTTATAGGCTAAAACAACTCCAGCTGCAGCAGGACGACACTTCTCAAAGAAGCAATTTGTGCACGAACAACCAAAGGTAGCTTTGTTGTCTAAGCTGATCCCAGGAGCTGGCTTGTATTCATTAACATAGTAGAAATCTGAAGGCGGGCCCTCCAAGTCAACAGTATTTTCCACAAATATCATTCCTTTATGATTCTTCTGTTGAGGTCATCTTGCCATCTCTACAGAGCTATTCTTTGTTTAGCTTTCTTCACAATGTACTCAGCAATGGCATGTCTCAAAGTTTTGTTACTATTGTCTTTTGGAATTATTGCTTTGCCTTTCTTTACCCAAGATAAATAATTATGCTTGTCGTTAGAGAACTGCTGAAGTAGTAATGGACTCTTCAGATTTTTCAAGTGTTCCCAAGTATTTGTAGAATCTGGCCATCCTTTCCATTTTACAAGAAAATATTCCATATCCTCTATGCACCTTGGCTCTGGTCAATACCATCTTGCGGAGCTTTCATTTAAACTGGCGCAGTCTGACTTGCCTCAGGCTTTAACTCTTGAGTTGTAAATGAGTTTAAGCAGGTTCACTTTCCTCTGCACATTCAGTTTTATCAGCTGTAAAGTTGAGGGAAGATTAGGCCAGCTAGAATAGCAGCTTTCATGCCATAGATAGGAAGATGGAAAATTGTGCCCTAGTTCACATAAATACTAAGCACTGCTCACTGCATTACTTACTTTTCTTGATGCTGTGACAGAACACCTGACAGAAGCACCTTGGAAAGGAAGGGCTTACTTTGGCTCACAGTTTTCAGGGGACACAGTCTGTCAGTGAGGAGAAGGCATGGCAGCCGGGGCAGCAATGTGGGGCAGTGGAAACTTGCAGCACCACTTGCTACATCGTAGAGGATCAGGAAGCAGAGAGCTCAAGCCTTCATGGTCCACTCAAGCAATCTAGTTCTGCTAGTGAGGCCACAGCTCCAAAGGCTCTACAACCTCCAAAATAGCATCACCAGCCAAGGAACAAATGTTCAGACAGAGCCTGTGGGGGGCATTTTATATTCTAACTGTAACATCCATTCGTCTACTGATTAAATCACATAAAAAGGTCACACCAATGTATATACCTATGTATACCTATGTATGTATATTCGTATGTATATCAAGTGTGTATGGTAATAAAATACAAATTCATTTAAAGGTGTTACCAAGGTTTTGGTTATTTTGGGGGGCATAAATACTTTTAATTAATTAATTAGTTAATTTATTTATTTTGGTCTTTTTTGAGACAGGGTCTCCCTGTAGCCCCAGCTGTCCTGGAACTCACTATGTAGACCAGGCTGGCCTTGAACTCACAGAGATCCACCTGCCTCTGCCTTCTGAGTGCTGGGATTAAAGGCGTGCACCACCATGCCCGGTGTAAACACTTTTTAATGTTTACTAAAAGGGAGTATCTACCTTATATCTCTGTGTTTTGTGAAGATTGTGAATTTATATCTGTCAAAAAAATACTCCTGCTAGGCATGGTGGTGCATGCCTTTAATCCCAGCACTTGGGAGGCAGAGGCCGGAGGATCACCTCAAGTTGGAAACTGGGGCAGTGGGTGATGACTGATCAGAGTGCATGTGTTGGATCAGGCAACCAACTTTAAGGGAAACTTTTTAGGATACAGCCTCCTGCTGTGCCAGTCTTTTTTTTTTTTTTTTCTTATGTTAAACCCTTTAGTTGTAGGATCTTGAGGGCTGTTCAGGGAGTCCACTGGAAGGACAGCCAGAGTAGCTGGGAGCAGGAAGGGGTGGGCAGCTTGGGCAGCGGCTGTTCACCTGTGTGAACTGTAGTATTTCTGCATCTCCAGTGGTGTGCAGGGCCTGTGGCATATAATGCCTGTGGCATGGGCTTGGCCTCTTGCCTCTGGTGCAGCTCACTCCCCAACCACAAGCCCACCTGGTATACACCCTTCTGTACTAAATTTGACTTTAAAATGGTGCATTGTGCCAGGCAGTTTTCTACCCAGGTGGCAAACTTGCAAGCCTCCAAGGTGGGTTTTGGTTGAATGAGCCCAGCTCTTCTTTGCTGCTTGGATACAGGTGGACTGTGTGAAGGAAGAAGAGCATATTGGGGTCAGGAGCCCAACTCTAGGTTCGTGTCTCACCTCTGCTGTAGTTCCTAGGCAAGTCACTTCATGGTCAATAAAGTGGGATAGTGACTTGTGTCCTCCCAGGGCCTCTCACAGAGCACCTATGGAAAAGTGCTTTGTAAACTGTAAAACACTTTGTACACAGGAGCGCTTCTGTTTCACAGACTGGAGGACCTAGCTGCCAGAAAATTGCTTGTCTGCTTCTAAATTAAGCAGGGGTCCCATAGACTATCTTCTTTGTTGGGGATATTCCTGGACTAAGGTCCTAAGATGTGACCATAACATAGCTTCAGCTTTTGATGGGGAGGAAGAAGGTTGGGCTGCAAACCTTTACAGAATCACACAAGAGCTGAAATAAGTTTCCAAACAACCTCGCCCCTGCCCCCCTATTTATAAACAGGGTCACCGAGGGCTGGAGATGGCCAGTAAGCAGCCCAAGGTCACACAGTGAGTTACTGGTTCAGCCAGAATCAAGTCTTTGGTCCTTGCTCTTTTCTTCACAAGCCTTCATTCACCAACAGTATTTATGGTCTTCACTAAATGCTGGCTTCTGAGCTGATCATTTTGCGGGGTAGACAGGACAGGGTGCAATTCTGCTCTTAGATAGGTAAGGGCAAGCTCTGAGAGAGGAACAGCTGGAGTGCTATCCAAACACGTCTGGCCACTTCCCCTGGGGAAGTGACTCCTGAGAGCAGTGAAGTGTGGCCCTGGAGTCGGTGCACAGCCAAGCTCCTTCACCTCTCTCACTTTTTTTTTTTTTGTCTTTGAGACAGGGTCTCTCTGTAGCCCCAGCTATCCTGGAACTCATTACATAAATCAGGCTGGCCTTGAACTCACAGAGATTTGCCTGCCTCTGCCTCTGCCTCTGCCTCCCAAGTGGCATGCGCCACCACGCCTGGCTCTCACTTTATTTTTTGCAATCATTTCAAGTGGGGAAGTTGAGGGCTCAGAGAATAGAAGGGGCATAGGTCACAGAGCTGGCAAGTGCTAGTCACTAATGGGAAACAGGGTGACTGCATGTCCTTATCTGTCTTGAGAATGGGCTCATTCAGGGAGAAAGAGCATGGGCTCAGATTGTCAGAGACCAATATTCAAATCCTAGCTCTGCCCTTTCCCAGCTGTTGACTTAGGCTGGTTACACTCTGTGGGATCTCAGGTTTCTTTTCCAGACAGGGTCTCCCTGTAGCCCCAGCTGTCCTGGAACTCACTATTTAGGCCAGGCTGGTCTTGAACTCACAGAGATCCACCTGCCTCTGCCTCCTGAGTGCTGGGATTAAAGGCGTGTGCTACCACGCCTGGCCCAGGATCTCAGGTTTCTTAAGTACAAAACAGAGGTAGAGAGTCCTTACCTTATGGGCTTCTGTGAAAGTGACTAGCTGCTGAGATGGAGCACCTAGCCAGTGCTTGGCCTCAGCAGGCACTCAGCAAATGCTCCTTTGCCCTGACACTAGTGGCTTGGGGATAAGCAGCACAGGGTCTGGTGCTCACACTGGTGCTCAGGCTGGTGCTTCCTAGGAGAGGGGCCTGGGAGCTTTTCCTGCATGAACAATAACAAGGGTAGTGGCAAAAGCCATGGTGATGGCACTTAATCCAGCACTGAAGGCAGAGGCAGAGCAGATGGATCTTTTGTGTGTTTGAGGTCAGCGTGGTCTACACAGTAAATTCTAGGCCAGCCCAGGCTACATAGTGAGACTCTGTTTCAAAATAAAACCAAGGGCTGGAGAGATGGCTCAGCCGTTAAGAGCACTGACTGCTCTTGCAGAGGACCCGGGTTCGATTCCCAGCACCCACATGGCAGCTACGAACCATCCTTAACTCCAGTTCCAGGGGAATCCGAAGCCCTCTTCTGACCTCTGCCACTTTGTATGACACGGGTGCACTCACATACATGTAGACAATACACTCATACACATAAAATAAAAAGAAATAAAATATGAAACAAAAATAAAAACAAAATAAAGACAAAATCAAGGGTAGTGGTTGAAGACTGAGGCCTAAAAACTGGGCCTCTTCCCCTAAGACTGTCTCTCCCTCCTGGGTGCGTCCCAGGCACAGCTTACCCTGAGTGACTGCCATGCCTGACTGCACGAGGTGTCAATTCTGCAGGATCCCAGCTTCATTTGTCAGCACCTCATGAAAATCTTCCTACTCCCAGCTTTGAATAGCCTTGTGGCTGCTGGGAGCCTGGAGGCTGGCTCTGTTTTGCCTGTCAAATCAACAGGCTTGGTCTGTCTGGCTCAGGACAGATAGGAGCACTGCCTCAGGGAGCTGTGATTCTCAGATGGTTGAGGACTCAGGCCTGGCAGCTAAGTCAGGGCTGCACAGAGATGAAGCTGTTTTGAGGCTGGCCTCTTCCACCAACCAAATCCAACACAGTCAGGCCCAGCAGGATCAGGCTGAAGGCACTGGTTGTGTGGGCAGCAGGGAGCAGGCAGAAGTGCAGTGCAGTGATCTTGACCCTCAGAGCTGGAGGAGCACACGGAAACCCAAAGCTTGCCAGATTACTTATTTTGCCTTAACTATGACAAGTCTTGGAACAGATTTAGAACCAATGGCAATAATTATGGCATCCCAACTGCTTGGCTCCAGTCTTTATTTTAATCGCTTCTCTTAAGTTTTAATATTTTAAAACGTTTTTTGACTTATTTATTTTATGTGTATGAGTGTTTTGCTTGCATGAATGTAAGTGCACCCTTGTCATGTAATGTGCAAGGAGGCCAGAAGAGGGCTTTGGATCTCCTGAGACTGGAGTTTCCAAGGATGGTTAGCCAGCATGTGGGTGCTGGGAATCAAATCCAGGTCCTCTGCAAGAGCAGCCGGTGCTCTTAACTGCTGAGCTATCTCTCCAGCTCCAGGTTCTAATATTTTTAACTTAAAAAAATTGTGGTTAAAAACCATGTAGCCTAAAACTTACCATTAGTGATATCAAGTATGGTTACTTGTAACCTTTCTAGTTCTAGAAGTTTAATTAAAAAGGAAAACCCTAGGGTGTTAGGTAAACTACCCTCCTTTAACTTTGAGGGAATGACAACTGTCCTTGTGAATTGAGTAGACATATGGAGTCTAACAAATAAGTAAATAAAACGATTAGCAACTTGCTGCTGTTTCACCATCTTTGCACAATCTGGGACAGACCTATTGTTTCTGATCTGATCCCTTCTTCCTTTGTTCTGCCCGTGGGGTAGTTTCTTGATTTTTGAGTGATGTGGGAGGGCCCAGCCCACTGTGGGTGGTACCACCTCTTGGCAGGTGGTTCTGTATTGTATAAGAAAGCAGGCTGAGCATGGGCCAGGAGAGCACGCCAATAAACAGCATTCCTTCATGGCCTGTGCTT